CGAATTAGTGTGCTTACAGCTGCAAAAACTCAGACAACAGTTTCTGTTTGCCACTGTTCTGGCAGGTCTCCAGTCACATTGGAGAGTTCCCTTCTACATTCCCATTTCCCTCAAACTTTTAACAGTTATTCACCACTTCACCTTCTTTTCTATCCTTGCTCTTTTACCTCATGCAGTAAGATTCTCCACATTCCTTATTTCCCCCTCATTTCTACTCATTCTTGCTCTTATCTGCCACTGAGTCTTTCCTCAGCTGCTCCCCTTTCCCACTCTTCTTCCTCCTAAATGGTCTACCATATCTCTCTCCTCACAGCAAGCAGTACCTCAACAGAGAACGGCTGACTTTACACAACGACTGTTAATTTCATATGACTGCTTTATATTTGAACCAGCAGGAAAGATAAAAAGCAAACAGAGGTCAAGGGCAAGATTTTAGGAAACTCTGCACTTAATGATATGAGCCCAGTCAGACCTCTGGTGATCTGATACATCTAAATAAAATTGAAATAATTTTTTATACAAACTTTCCAGAACTTCATATGGGGTTTTATATAAGTCTTTTAAAAATGAATAGATTATTCAGCATCATAAGTTACATGACAAACACATGCTAAAAGAGAAACTGAGAAGAGGGAAATCACATAGCATGTTTGTACATACAGTAGACACACTGAAAGACATTCTTCAAATACCCTATTTCTGTTGTTCAAATTAAGAAACAAAACTTTAAGTTTTTGAAGAAAAATGCCATAAAACAATAGAAAGATGAACTACTAACAACAGTGCAAGATCACAGGAAACAGCTCGTGCCTCATCCTGATGAGCAACGGTGCCTCTACGCTTGACAGACATGTTGTACTTTTCAGTGCTCATAAATTCTCCAGGAACCACTAGATAAATGAAAAGTCTATCTACCTGAGACAAATCATGGTTAGATCCCAAATATTAATCATCCTTGAATTATACTGAAAGATCCATAGATAAAAATGTTACCTAATTAGACCATTCCTCACTCAGAAGTCTCAGTTGAGGTTTTGAATTCAGATCAGTTCATACCAGAATAATTTAGACTGCTAAAAACCTCAAGAGATCATTTAATCCAATCTAGCACTCAAAGAAATGGTATCCCAGACTTTTATCTGCTCCCATTACTAACAATGTAGATACTACACACAAAATAAGATGCAGATGACATTTCCATGACAACCCTGAATGTATCTTAAATTAGTAACACAGTTAGCATACACCAATGAACAGACTGTAAGATTTCTTATTTCAGTGTGTGCAAGTTGTCACCAACCCAAACTGTAATCAAATGTTGGGGCAACAGGCATAGGCTCAGAATATAGCATTGTTGCAAATACTGAATTTGATTTACTCATCATTTAGAATCAAGATACTGCTATTAAAGGCAATACATGACACAGTCTTGGTTGCTTAAAATATTATTTACTCAGATTTTGCATGTCTGTTTTATTTGCATACATTACTTGAAAAAAAAAAAAATCTAATTTATTTCCTCCATGATGCTGTCAGGCAGATTTAACTGGAAGGGACAGCTGAACCATATATTCAAGGCCAGGTACTATCCAGCCCTAGAAAACAAGTCAATAAAGACTGTAGTCTGAGGACTTGCTCCCTGTAAGTGGAAGGGAGCTAACAGGTAATGAGGTAACTCCTGGATATCCTAAAGCCACAGCAGTAGAACTTGAATATTTGCTCACACAGCCAGTAGACAAGGAGCAGCAGATAAGTCCCTGCACTTGACACTCTCAGCATGTCTCAACACAGCCTGGACGAGTCACCTCCCAGAGGGTCACTGTGCCCCTTTAGGTCCTGGATTTTCTGCCAGGGCTGCCATAAATGACACTATATGGTAGCATGTGTTCCAGCAGGACATTTGTCTTCTACAAATTGGATGAAGACTATTGATTTCTCGGAGGTCAGCAAGCAACCATCAAACTGTTGGCAACTAAAAGTCCTTACCAACTTTTGTCTGCTTTGAACTGATGGCACAGAAACGATCAGCAAGACTCCATGTTCCATTAGCAGTCCCTAAGATACCCATGAGATGGCCCTTGACGCGTTACCTAAATCACCCCATCCCATTCCCACCCTATGGTGAGTGAACGAGCATTTTTGTTTGCAAAAACATTGCAATTCTTGGGAATGTAAATTTAAATTCTCACAGTGGATACTACTGGTACAATTCACACTGACTTCAGCAAGTATCATTTTGCTAAAATGCTTTGTAACTCAGAAGAGACTTGTTACTTACAGGGAGAAACACACTGTCTCCTAAACAGAATGCAAAAATAAAAGCTGCCTCCAAGGAAATTGGGGAGGGTTGGGCAAGTTGCGTTCAGAAACAGAAATATGGAGCATACTATTCAGGAAGACTATGGTGATCTCTAAATAGTTATGTACAGGCTCTTTAGTCAAATGTAACACCAAGTAAATTCAAAACAAGGTAAAAAACTATATTGTATCTCTCATTACCAACAACTCAGCTATGGAGAAGACTTCATGTGAGGCACTTTCGCATAAGATCAAGATCACGTAAGATCATAATATTGTTTTTCAGAGTATGCAACATTTTAAAGCAAAAATATACACACTTGGTAAAAAATCCATAAGATGGCCTTTTATTTTTCTCATGTTTTACTATTTTTGTTCATTTAACCACAAATAAATTACTACTACTTCATCACTTGTTAAGCTCAATTGAATTTACAGACAAGCAAAAATATGGATTTTTTTACCAAGTGTGTATAAGATGGCCTTTTATTTTTCTCATGTTTTACTATTTTTGTTCATTTAACCACAAATAAATTACTACTACTTCATCACTTGTTAAGCTCAATTGAATTTACAGACAAGTCCTCTGAACAAGGACAAGTTCTGTATGTGTCAATGCAGTTCAGAATATTACAGACAGGACAGTTTCAACAAACTGCCCTATCAAGCATCATTCACACTAGGCAAGAGAAGAAACATTTTAATATCCATGAATGCTTCCTTTTAAATAAACTCTGAGAAGAAACTATCAGTTGTGTAAAACTACGCAAAAACCCTTTTGGTTTTCAAATGGAAACTACCAGCCTCTGTAACTAAAAGTGGGTTCTGGAAATCCATCTGCTTTTGAAACCTGTGGTAAATTGATGTTTTTCCTTCACAACACTTCATCTCAAAAAATGCATTCCCCCTCCTTCATTTATTATCTCTTCCAATGCTTTTAATAGATGAAGATCTTTTTCACAGGTAGAAATACTATGGAGATATCAAGTATGAACACTTAAATGCATACATGCATACCAGTAAAAGACTGTAAAAATCAAGAATGTAAATTAGCAATTTTCACATGTAAGGTGTCATATCCTTTGTAGGTATTTCTGTATTGTCAAACAGTTATTAGGGACATACACATCTGTGTACAACACTCAAGAATAAATGATCAGGTTCCAATCCACATTACAGCACACACTAAAATTGATGCTCCACACATAATTCCAATACTCTCATTAAGCACAATCCTTCTAGCATCATTTGCTATTAATACAACTGAGTTTGAATCCAGAGTCTGTCTCTATTTAAAAAAAAAAAAAAGAAAAACATTAAAAAACCATAACATGCCAAAAAATTAAGAAATCCACACCAAATCCCACCTCACACATCAGTCTAGCTATAGTGGTCGAAATTTCTCTCTCATAAATTTAGTCAGCTGTTATACAGCAGGGGTTTACATCAGCACATTGTACTGCAGTAGTCCAATGGCTCAAGTTGCACCAGCATAAATCCACTTTAGAGTCAGTAGTTTATTTACAATGGCTAATTCTATCACCTATCTAGCTACACTGTGGTAGGGGGATGCTCATTTTCCCCGATAGATAAATCTTGCTAGTCTGACATGGCATCTATTAGTATTCAGCAAACAGCATTAAAATCAAACCAAGTTTTACAGAAACACTCCTATTAGGGTCTATTCTATGAAGTTTCTTCTGTTCCTCCTCTCAGTCACTCAGGAGAGGAATTAAATAACTGTTCCAAGTCTTTCCCCTGTCTGAAACCATGGAACAACCTGTCCAGCAATCAAAACAAGGAACAAAGACGGAAAACACAGTTACTTTCCCACCTATCCTGGTTCTTCAAGCATACTGACTAGTAATGAAAAATAAGATTCTCCCAGAGACCCACACAGTTAAGGGGTAAAATGAAGATTTTTGCCACATTACAGCTCCCTTCTCTATTTACCTCCATGAAAAGCAAGGATAAGAAATCTAATTTCTTCCTCTTCTGAGTTGTCCTTCCCCTTTTCCTTAACGCACAGAGGAACATCTAAAGGTTTCTCCCCATCAAACCATGACTTCCCTCTCTAAAACTTGAAAGGAGTTGAAGTGCTCGTGGCTGATTCACCCCTGCTGCTTGGAAAGGCTGGAAGAATGGCTGCTTCTCCTAGGCAGTCAGCAAAAGCTGAAGCACATTCTGATCATCAGCCTACATTCCTATTTGTCCAAATCCAAACAACTACCTTGAAAGTAAGAAAGAAAAAAATACATATATACAGTCAAATACTGCACTGTGATAGTATTTGACCACAATCAATGCATTAAACTGCTATAATATGGCAACCACTTTACACTTCTTGCAGTGCAATGGTCTCTTTCCCTTCT